TGTGTGTGTGTGTGTGTGTGTATGTATATGTATGTATGTGTGTGTGTGTGTGTGTGTGTGTGTTAGATAGGCAAATGCTTGTGTTTGCATGTGCACATATCTATCTATCTATCTATCTATCTATCTATCTATCTATCTATATGAGTGTGTAATACGCATTCAGTGTTTGTATGTGCTCAATGCCGTCGGAACAGCTTAACAAAGTTGCTGAGAATGTTTTGCTGGAACATTCCTACACTCAAGGACAATGGCTCCAGTTTTGAAAGGAGGACATCACTGATTGCAACTGATCTCAGGTGCTATGACCTCGATATCGTTGGTCTCAATGAAACTGGATTTGCTGAAAAAGGTCAATTGAAAAAATTGTGTGGCGTCTATACTTTCATTCGGAAGAGAAAGGATCTTTCAGAAGGCAGAACAAAAATGGTTTTTGGCTTCGCGTAGAAAAATCCCACAACTGTCGAGCTTGAATCCCTTCCAAAAAGTGTTAATGACAGACTCATGGTTTTGAGACTTCCCCAGGGTAAGATCCAATATGAAAGATTTGTGAGTACATATGTCCCTACGATTATCATCCCAGATGATATCAAATATAACTTCTATTGTGACTTTGAAGCCGTCCAATGCTTTGTCCCAGCCCCTGATAAATCGACTTTGGTGATTTCAACGCAAGAGAAGGCTCTGTCTAGTGCCCAGACAGGTCTCGTCGGTGAATATAGTGTGGGCTTATGTGACAGCATTGGGCTTAATCTGTAACAAGCATGTACAGAACATGGTCTGTACATCACTAATGCAAACTTTTACCTGCCTGTAAAATACAGATCACTATTGATGCATCTCCACTCAAAACCGCTGGCATTGATTATTATCGTGAAACGTAAAAACATGAGTGATATCAGAGTCACTCGCGCCATGTGGGACTGAGCCCTTACGGATTGTGAGCAAACTTAAACTGAGATTTTATCGAATCGAAAAAGATGGCCTAAGGGGAAATTTCATCCCGAAGGACTCGACACAGATGAACGACAAAAATCTTACTTTACAAACATCCCTCCTAACAAACCTAAATGCCAACTGTGCTTTACTATACTCAGAGAAACAATTTATAGAGTAGACTCAGTAGTAATCGGCTTTTCCAGTCATCGTCACCATGACAGGTTTGATGAAAATAATTAAAAGATTTAGTCTCATTCAAGAAAAGAGAAACTGATACAGCCCTCAGCCAGCAATCCAAAATCCAAGTAAAAACAAGGAGGATAGGATTAGAGAGACTCAGCAGTGGGTGGATACAAACAACATTCATTAATTCTATGAGAGCCAACGCTACATCTATGATCCTTGTCGCTTGGGTACTTCACCCCATCTTGACCAAGATGGTTCCAAGGGCATCACAGATAAAAATGAAAAACTGAAATGCTGGGCCGAACACATGCATGTCTATGGGCTGCTATTTGATTGTGCATTACTTGTTCATGAAGAATCTAACATAACAAACAGTCTTGATCTGTTCTCAAATGCATGTGAGAACTTTTGGACAGTAATTCTCTTCCAGCCTGTCCCTGGTGATACCCATACCCTCCCTCCTAAAATCAAAATACGTAACCCAACACTGAGCGAGGCTGACAGCTTCAATATCTTGGCACTACACACACTGTCTTTAAATGCCCGCATAGTTGAAGAGTTGACTTGACGTATGAATATAGGCTAGTGCATCCTTTGGAAGGCTGAGAGAAAGGGTTTGGGACTGCTGTGGCATTCACACAGAGACAAAACTAAAAGTCTCCCGACCCTCTTGTACAGCGTGAAGTCCTGGACGGGGTACCAAAGCCATGCCAAAAGGCTCACTCATTTCCTCTTTAATGACTCAGAAGGATTCTTGGCATCAAATAGCAGGACAAAATAATATACTCCGAAGTTCTCAAAGGGTCAATGCCGAGAGTCTTTTTTCTAAGCTTAAAAGTAAACGGACTCAACTTCACTAGGCTGGCCTTGTCATTAGAATACTTGATTTCAGAATCCCAAAGGCAGTATTCTATTCTAAACTGACCTTCTGAAAGCGTGAAGATGGGGCTCAACAAATGTGTTACAAAGACACCCTGAAAATGTCTCTGAAAGACTTCAACATACATTCTTCAACATGGGAGAGCCTAGCTCCTAAAAAACCCAGTGGGATAGCAGCAGTCACAGAGGGCAGCAAGTCATATATGAGGCTTCGCAAATGAAAAAAAGTTGACACCAAGAGAGAAGCTCACAAGCTACGCACATCCAGAAGTGGAAGTGGAGTTTTTAAATGCACCATAAGTGGCAAACTGTTCTCCGTCGGAACTATTCTCATTAGCCACAATATAACAGAAGCCACAAG